TATTATAATCACTTAATGTTATTAAAGGTAAAAAAATAAAATTGAAATTTATTAGATAATTATTAATTAAAAAATGTGACCACAAATTAAAAAATCAAAATAGATAAATTTATCAATAAAATTAAAAAATTTTAATTCGTTAGTGGTTTGATACAAAAAGTTACATAAATTAGTTTTTTCAATCTGCTAATGATTTGGATCCGAACTGCTTTCCGCTAGTCTCAAATTGCTAAATAAAAATTTTATCAAATACTTTATTTGTAACGATTTCAAAATATATAACTTTACCAAATACTTATATTTAGCAGTTTAGGTAAAATCGTTGACGGATAACCAAAAACTGTTATACCAAACGAGTCTTAATTTCTGAAATGGATGGATGGTGGGAGGCCCTTGGCCTACAAGCAGCCATAGGCTTCCCTCTGAACGCGAACCATGCTGCAACTCGTAACATTCTCGGTTCAGAAGGTTACAACACTTACTAATCAAGCTTCCAAGGGCATTAGTGCGTCCACATGGTTTTGAGTTTTTTAAATAGAAAGAAAAGAATCTGTTTCAATAAGGAATAATGATGCGTCTGAGCCCTCTCTCTCACACCAGCTGCGGCTCCGTTCCAAATTGGAAAAATCTCGGCCTTAATAGGAAACCCCTGTCGTCTACATGTTATAAATAGTCTCCGCTTTAAGTAGTTACCAACCTTCAACATTAATGTATTGATGAAGTCAGTATAGATATTAACTCCATTAAAAGATTATGTATGATTAATTTCTACGTATTTTTTTTTGTCAAAAATATGTTTTTTCAATGCAAATTATACCTTTTTTATAATTTAAGTTTTAACATTACCATAATATTTTAAATAAAACTATCATCTATATTTATTATTAATAATATTTCAATAATTTTAATATTCAAACTATAAAAAACTATAATTTCTACCGAAGAACACCTTTCTCTTTTTCTTATAATCTCAAGAGTTGTATTAAATTAGTGAATATCAAATGAACTAATAGTTCAGTTACCTCTTTCTTTTTTAATTAATTTAATTGAATAAAAAATGAAATATTGATTGCAAGTTACTATTTTGAACTAGTACAACTAAGAAAATTTATGAAAAGCAAGATTATCGAAGTTAAAATTTTAAAATTTTAAATATTATCACTTTTTTTTTTTAAGAGATGCGGACATTAAACTACAGTAATAGTTGGCATTAACTTCTTTTTTTCTTTTTTCTTTTCTTTTTTTTTTTTTTTCCGATGGAAAGAAAAGTCATGAACTTTAGTGTGGCTGTAAAAGGATAAGAAAAACTTTAATGTGATTTCTATTGTGTCTACATCCGTCAACACCCCACCTTACCCAGCAAGTTAGGAACTTAAGAGTGTGGCTTCCACAGTATTTTGCCAGTATCACTTAAAAATTATTTAATTTGATTAATTACAAGTTAGTATTTTAAATTAGTAGAATTGAGAAAATTAACAAAAAATAAGATTATCAAAGTTAAAATTTTATACTTTTAGATATTATTATTCTTTTTAAAAGAGTTGTAATGCGCTTGGTCCTTGAGGTTAAGTGACTTTCAAGCTGCTTTAGAGGTGCACTATCTCCTCCCCATAGTGGGATCAAACCCACCCTTGTCTATGTATTTAAAAAAAAAAAAAAAA